CTGAAACTCACCGGCAGCTGCTTGGAGTATGTTGATTGACACTGCACTACTTTCAAGGAATAGATCCCGGTTGAAAGCATCCTGACCCAAAGAAATATCGGAAGAGTTGATCATCAGTGGGAACAAATTGAAGTACTGAGGCCACTCTGCCGGAGCAGCACCTACCGCCGGTACGGTGCTCGACTGCGCATGCGTAAAAGCGTGTATTGGGGAGGATCTATGAGTATATGAGCAAGAAGCATGTCATTAGGTGAGTATAAGCAGTCGGGACGCACATACGAGGTGCACGTAGGTACGGATGGCGATCAGCCGATGTATGGAAATTCTATCAAAGAAGAGGCGGTTAGTTGGGGCATTTTACGAGCGCTGTTGGCATATTGACACGCTTTTGTGGCGCGTCTACGCGTTTCGTGAGCGGGAGGCGGTGATGGAAAGAGGAAGGGAACGGGACAAAAATGTCCACGTGTCTTGTCCCTGAATAAGTACATTGCCATTTGCCAAGTGCACGACACATTAGGGGAAGTCAAAGTTGAGAATCGACGTCGATTCTGACGCCGATTCTGGGGTGGATTCTAGTCCGATTCCTGAAACAGAATCACACAAGAATCGACATGAACTTTGACCACCCCAGATTCCGAGCGCAACTTGGGAATAGATGCTGGTGTGATTATTCAGCTTCTCTTTATATCTCGCTCCCATGCTCTTGAGGTTAATACGTAGTTCTCTAATGACCTGGGTCTTGAACGGGCTTTCGACCCTGGATCGGCTTTCTCGCAGCGAGAAATTAAAGTCCATGAAAATTGGGCGCTGCAACGAGGGGCTTAGCCACAAGTGAGCACGACAAATGAGTAGAATACACAAAATTACTGCTCTGACTCTAACTTACTCAGAGGTCGGATGATCACATGAATTGTTGTTGTGTGGAAGGGAGATGGAAAGGTTCAGAGCAGGTGACCGATTCTGAAATCGATTCGGAATCGATTCTCGCCGTGTTTCGACTCTGGAGTCGGAACACCGATTCTACACCGATTTTGGAAAACATCGATTCTGGCGTCGATTCTTGATCAAAAATCGATGCCAGAATCGACAGCCGAATCGATGTCAGAATCGACATCGATTCTCAACTTTGACTTCCCCTATTTGTATGGTATCGCGCTTCGCACCAAAGCACAACACATGTCATTGATGTGCTGCGCTTGCTGAAGATGTGTTGTGCTCCGAGAAAGTTCACAAAGCCCGCGCTCTGTATACTTATACCCAAGCACTCACGGGCACTCTGGCAGAATGAAAATGATAATTACTGAGTTCAGAGTACTCTTGAGGTGTTGGTAAGCATCTACTTGGTCCTTGCATCAGAACCGTACAAGTTAGCTGTCAACAAGTTAGTTTCGCCAAGTGTGGGAAAGGTACCGTAAAGTAAAGTAAAGTTAGCCCCACCAAGCTAAAGGGGCGATCAAAGTTAAAGTTAGCTCTCACAAGTTACTTTTTTCACTCTCCCCCGAACCGGTTGCGCATATAAGACGTGGCCGATTTAAATCTGTGACGGCATTCCACATCGCTCCAATCTTTTCGCATCGTGCCAATTGCCCTCACCCACTCCCATCAAGATCCACGGACGCTAACTGTCGCTAGTCATGTCGGGACTCAATGCAGATATTGTTGCCGAACTGTATGGGAATCTCAAATATGTCCTTTGTACTGCCTCGGTCGTTACCTCCGCCACAAGTACTCGGACGGGCATTGACTCCCCCGACGAGCAGGCAGCGCTGTTTTTCAATGGTTCTTCAAACACCCCCCCGTGGCGACTCGCTCTAAGGCCTCTTTTTTTACCTAGCAATATGTCTTCTCCTCTTCGTCTGGGCTGTTTTATTTCTACAAAAAACGAAAACCTGGACATCGCACATGTTTCTAGACCTCTCCGTAATTCTCGTGCTATTTTCACTCGCCCAAGTGGCCCTGGATGTTGCTAGTCCTGTTATATTCCTACGGCTAACGCAAACTGTTCCGGACGGCTCGCCAGAACAAGCGGTTCTATACCACACCTACCTGCGACTGTTTCTGACGCGGGCGGCTCTTACCACGGTCAACAAGTACGTGGTGCCCGATATATCCCAAACCTCTATTCATTCCATCTTTGTGGACAGCGCAATTGCAGATTGCCTCTTTGTCAGTATTGTAACGATATTTTCGCCTGGAGCTACTTGCCGATTAATATCAAGCTGTCTCGCTGTGCTGCCATCTGGAGGTCTTGCCCCTACTACAGAGTCGTGATTGCTGTTCCTGCTGTCCTGGTTCCTGCTCCCCTCGGTATATAAACGTAACCCAATTTCGTGCATAATTGACTTTTCTTCAGCAATGGGCTTCTGGGCGATTTTTGGGCTTACCACAAACACCCCAATTCCATTCTCCTTCGCACTCGGCACCAATTTTCTCCTGTTGGCCTTGACCGGTATGGTATTCTCGTCTCACCGGAGCAGCGCTGTTCCGACACCTGTTTACAGCCGGGAGATCATGGAACAAGAGCAGACAGGTAAAGATTGTGCTCGGGATTGAAGCTGGGCACCGATACGACAGAATCTTGGAGATCCTGTACGTGTTTTTCAATTCCAATCTGCCCGAATCTGTCAGAGACTTGGACCAGATCCGAGTCTAGTCTACTCTACGTTATCGTATTCCTGGTTTACTTGATCATGAGCGCTGCACACCCATTTTCGGTCAGTCTATATCAATGATCTCGGGCCTTGGCATTTCGATAACACAGGTTCAACTTCTCTTCGACAGCCGATAACGGGCATGGCGTGGGGTGCACTTGGACAGGTGGTGGTCAGTAATTCCTTTGTCCATGTTTTCAATTCATTGATTCCGAGACAACCCAGAATATTGTGCCGATGATGATCATGGTCCGCGTAGGGATGATCAAAAGCAGTGATGAGAGGCGGACAAACTCACACGTCTTCTACGGTGGCAATGCGGTTCGGGATGACTCCGATTTCTAATGTTAGACCAAATGCGAGAATTCGTCGACAATCAGTCGCATGCACACAACTCTGGTCCCGGTGCTGCCGCTATCCGATACAACTTGGTCAACTCCATGCCACTCTTTACGTGTCGATCATTTGTGGGACAGCATCTGGCCGATACATTAACTCAACCTATGCAGAACGGCAACGAAGCTTTGGAGCATCAACGATCGGTACGCACCCAGTTCTGTCCGCGTCTCACAACCATTTGGGATCGTTCGCTCCACTACCAAATTAGAATTCACCACTGTTTAAGTATGTTGTTTTGAAGAGAAACTTCTATCCGATTTTACGTGTGGTTGTTTCATTATCGCACGTAAACTCATGGCGGAATCCAATAATACGCGTGGTGCGCGGGCTGTGTGGTGCGCAACCCAAAGCGCTGTGATTCAGATCTACGACGGCATCCCGCATCGGCTAAAACCGCCTTCGCGCACCTTCTCAGCTCCCCCTCCCACCCGTGCATTCATACGGAAGCTGGCTGTCGCTAACCATGCCCGGCCTCAATGCAGACACTATTGCTAAGTTGCATGTGGAGCTCAGATGTGTGCTGGGGACCGCATCGGTGGGTTACCTCCTTCACTGAATTAATCCTCTCACAACACCACATGCAGACAGCGCTATTTTTCAACGGTTGGTCTGACATTCGTCTTTCTCGGCCCGCCCTGAGAAACGTTGTTCCCAAGGAATTTGCCTTCTCCTCTTCATGTCTGCGGCTTTCTTTCTTCAGCAGACGAAGACATGGGCATCACGCATGTTTCTCGCTCTATCCACAATTCTCGTGTCGTTTTCGCTCGTTCAAGCCTCCCTGGACGTTGCTAGCGCGGTTGTTTTCCTAAGATTACCAGGTCTCTCAGGGGGCTCCCCAGAACAAGCGGTCCTGTACAAGCGACTGTTTTGGACGCGGGCAGCCCTTGTCGCGGTCAACAAGTACGTACACACTCTTTCGTCAACACCTCGATTGATTCCGGAGTGGCCAGCGCAATCGCAGATTGCCTCTTTGTTAGTATTCGAGCAATTTTTTTTGCCTGGAGCTGCTTGGCAAACTATTATCAGTTATATCGCTGTGCCGTCATCTGGGCATCCTCTCCTTATTACAAAGTCGTGATTGCTATCCCTGCGGTCCTGATCTTATCCACTCTCGGTATGTACAGGCAACCCAATCTTGCGCATATTTGACTCGCATCTCAGCAATGGGCTTGTGGGCAGTTTTCGTTCTCACCACCAACAGCCCGATTCCATACTCTTTCGCCCTGGTCACCAATTTTATCCTGCTGAGTCTGACAGGTATGGTATTCCCGTGTCACCATAGCAGCATTGTGCTAAGGACTATTTCCAGCCGGGAGGATATGGAGGAAGGGACAACAAGTAAAGGTTGTACTAGGTGCTGAAGCTGGCTGCCGATATGACAAAATTGTGGAGATCATGCAGGTCTTTTCAATTTCAACCTGATTGACTCTGACCAAAACTTGAATCAGATGCGAGTCTAGTCTGCTCTACGTTGTCGTAATATTGTTTTACCTGATCACGGGTATTATACAACCACTGGCAGTCAGTCTATAGTACCTGCATGGCACAGGTTTGACTTACCTTCCCAGCCTATAACTGGCATGGCCCGGGGTGCACTTGCTCAGGTGGTAGTCAGTGATTCATCTTCCATGTTTTCAATCTGCTGAGTGCGAGGCAACCTAGAATATTGTACCGATGATGATCATGGTCCGCGTAGGTATGGTGAGGGGTAGGGACGAAGCACAGGAAAGTTCGCATGTATTCTACGGTGGAAATGTGGTTCGGGATGATTAGTACTGCACTGTCGAGAAGTGGTAAACCGTACTTACACCTTGGCTTGAGTTATATATATGTTGGATATCCTACTGTATCTACCTCTACCACACTGCTTGCTTGCCGTGAACAGACGGAAAAAGATGGGAATGTCTAGCTTCCAAGCCGTGAAGGGGTGGGAGAGGGGTTCAAAAAGACTGGACACAATGGGGTTTGAACCCATGACCGCATACAATTACATAAGCAGGACGACTGCCACGCCATTGCAAAGCATGAGTGATACCACTACACCATATGCCCATATGACAATCCCTCATCGGACTGGTACCATCAGCCAAAATTATGCTGGTACGACTGGCCCGTGGTGGAGAGTTAACCATTCGGTGCGGGGAGAATGGATGTTTGAAGGCACCGACAGATGGGAGTCCAGTGCCAGCGGGCTGGCACATCGATTTCAACGATGGAGGCTTGGTTGGATGGCGGACTCGGATCTCGGCCGAGTTGGACGAGGAACCACGTGTACACACATGATTAGCGATTCGGCGCTTGATCTTTCTTTGCCTGGTGCCACCACATTGCCGATTTGTGAAGACGCACTCGCTTGGTGCTCGGAATCTGGATCGTTTTCTTTGTTTTCTTCGCCTAGCCGTCTCGCAATCTGTCTCTAGGGTCCGAATTTTGTGCTATGCTATTGATGCGCACATCTTGAGTGTTCCCAGTTCACCCACAAATGACATTGACGTAGTTCCGCCTGGCTCTGACTGCGTTCTGACTGGTGTGACGAACTCGGGCCCAAGGCTGGAGTTTTCCCCTTTGCGTCTTTGCGTTGTATCTCTCCTGTCTTGTGTTGTAACTTCACATCGCTGGCTGTCTCCTTGTCCCTGTCTCAGTCGCAGAATTGGTGCGGACGGGTATTTCAATAATATTTTGTGCGCTTTCTTCTGATCTCACATCCTGCAGATCAACATAATTCGATATGGTCCGTCACAAGCAATTCTTGGACCTCTGTCCAAGACAGGTGATAAGATCGTTCGCTGTCGTGGGAGGCCGTACGCAGTGTTTTTTCGGACACCTGCCCGTCTATTTTCTCCAGAAAATTTCCTTCCCATCATGATCCTCTCGAAATCTTTCCCCCACAATATCACATGAATATTCAGGTCCAACCTTCTTACTCGCACCTTCCCCCGACTCTTCTTTCCTGACGAAGTTATTCGATCGACTTGACCTTCTTCTGGTAGAATTTCCCTGCGTATTTTCTTTCCAGAACACAGTAGAGATTCATGCCAGTATATATATGTTCGGTCCTTCGGGTTCGGTGGCGGTGGACGATCGTGATTAGTATTTTCTCCCTCCTCTCATCCCACATCATCTCTTCACTTTCAGTCATCGCGGCTCGCCTTTCTCTCTTCAACCGGATCTTTCGACGACGCGCAAATAACCGAATGACAATGTATTGGTCCAAATTTTCCGCGGCGCAGAAAGTGGATGCGTTGAAATTTATATGCATGCTGTGTACTTGATGAAATTATATTGGCGGCCTGGGCGATGTTTCGCAAGGAGGAAAACCACCTCGCGCCCCGTCTCCCCGAGTGAGTCATAACTCGTCATATCCAGCAGCCGACGAGAGCCACCAGAGCGTGCCGAGCGTATCCGGCAAAAAACTACATAGGCCCCGCGAGCCGACTTCCTCAACGCCACGAAATGCTGGTCTTTGGAGCGGAAAATACGTCATACTTATTGTGGTCAAGCCTCCCATTTAGCGGAGTCATCGGCAGATAACACCTGGTACGGATCTTGCATTTCCGACTGAACAACCAGCCATTGAAAGTGATGCTTGTATTCCCATTCTCACTTTTGCGGAGATCCTACATGTTGAAAGCATCGGCGCTCTCATTCTTCCAGATCTGCTCTCTATAATTAAGCTTCGCGCAGCTCGACGGATCACTGATCACCGTTCCGTCGCCAAGAAGTTTCAATCTCTCCCCTCACCGGAGTGTCCGAATGCATCTTGACAACCCACGACGCTGCCGACAAATACGCGAGGAATTCCTTGCTCGCCCCACGACACTCTCCGGAAGGGTTCACTGGACTCCTTGTCCTTCTTGCTTGCTTTGGGACTCCAGTGAAAACAAGAAAAACCTTGAACAGCAGACGGCGAAGTGATCCTCAACTGACAACCGGTACCGAGACTTACCCCAATCGCATCTAGTGATCTCTGGTGATTGACGCAATGTACACTCTCATCAAAATTTCAAGCTGATCGTCGCTGCCAACACTGCGTTTCCATCTGACCTCGAGGCAACCTATGGTGACTGCACCGCTTCCTCCGCCGGCGAATTTGCATGGCCTAGTGAGCCGTTCTCTATCAGCTATCTCTAATCCTGGAATTAGACTCACTGCCTCACCGTACCACCTCATTCCGGCGGGCCCTGTGCCCTGTTCGTACATCCGCTTGTCATTGGATCCTCGCTCTCCTCCTCCGGTCATGGCAGCACCGACGCTATCCCCACTGTTCTCTCCACGGCAGGATCTCGTTGTGGCCAATATGTCTGTGTTCTTAAAGCCAGGCAGCGCAAGACGAATATACAACTCAAAATGCACCCTTACACTCAAGGAGGATGGAGAAATCCCGTCAACCCGAACGCTCCTGGTTCTTCTTCTCGCCCACCGCAACCCTCGATATTCGGTGCACTCCCCGACCCCTTCCGCTCTCGCTCTCGAGCCACTCCAAATCCGACTCTAATTTCATTCACCTTCGGTTCCTTCCAACCCAACATATTGAACTGCACCGTCACCGGCGCCCCCCAGTCCCGGGTGTACTTCCGCATCATGACCGATACCCCCACCGTCGGTTACACAGTGTTCCTCGACGCCGCGAACCAGCCAATAACGATCATCGACTGGCGCAGTGAGCACCCCATCGTGGAGGTTCGGGGCATCCTTTCAAAGCGGCGGACCGCGGACTGCCTCCCACTGGGTACAGGGCCCAGCAGCAGGTTCGTTGCTGTACTCTCTGGGAATGGTGACATACCCACCGGTCTGCTGCGGCGCCTCTAGCCATCGCACGATGGAGGTTCTGGGGAAACACTTCGTCTGGGTGCCGGGCGGTGACTACATCTTTGTGCGCGCCACCATCCTTCCAACGGTCGCACACTGGGTCTAATTTTGCTTTAATATCCAGTTGTATTCTGCGGGAGTCGGTCGGCCTCAGGTTTACGCGCAGGTTTCGCGCGGCGAAGGCGCGGTCACGCTGGAATTAACTGCGGAGGCGATTCAGATCGGGCTGTTGGAAATCTGTGTGACGGCGACGTTCCTGCTCCAGTGCGGGAGGAATATCGACTGATAACTCTACCACTTTCCGATCTATTCTCCCATATACGGCGTCGCCATTTCACTTACTTACATGACCTGTGGACCTTGTATTTGACCTCTGCTCCTTTCGAGCTCAAAATCTTCCAGTCCCGTTTGGCGACTCACTTCCCTGTTGCATTTGTGAATACATACTTGTATTTTACTTCGCTCCTTTGAGCCCAAATCAATTTCCATTCCATTTTGCTAGATTGAGAAGACCCCGGCTGCTCTTGTGGCCTACCGCGGTTTTTCCAGAATCTGCAGATTCGGAACCAACCCAAAACTACGAGAAGAAAACCTTTTTGCTTTGGGACAAGAGTTAAACAGAACTCGATCCAATTGACAGCAATTTAAGCAAAAAGGTTCAGCAAAAAGTCCAGAGCCGCCCGTCGGATGGTTCGCTGCTGCTGCCGCAACATCGAATGCAGGGCAAGACCAGATATGAGAGCGGTCAAAGTAATCGCATACCTGGGAGATCGATGTTGAACTGCAATGCATTCATGGTGGGTGAAGGAGAACAAAAGGGTGGGGTTACGACAGCGGTACCCGTGAATTGTCGTCAGTGCGCCCAAACGTATCGGAGATGCATCATCTCCAGAAGACGCTACGGCGGCTGCTGCCTCGGCGAGGCCCGCGGTGGCGAAATTCCAAAGCAGACAGTACTGGCGACTATCGATTTTCTTCGGGGCGAAAGCAGAAATCCGAGCTTCAACGAAGGAAGAAGGCGCACGATTGACATCAAAATCACCCAATTTGGGTAACTTCTTTTCCGCTTCGAGCCTCTCCTGCTCGGCTATTTTAGCGGCATCGGCTACGGCTGCTTCCTCTCCTGAGGCCAAGCCCGACCCTGACCCAACCCAAGCCTGGAATTTCAGGAACACTAAGTGGGTGCCATCCAAACTCAAGAAGTAACGAAGGTGGCCGAGGACGAGGAAAAGACGACGGACACATAGAGGCACGATCCTGGTCTCCGTGAATAAGGGTGCGACCAATGAACGATTCAGCATTCGGCGGAGGAAACTCATTTAAACTTTCTATACATGTACCTGGAGCCGTAACCCTAAACATTAGACTGTTGACACATGGATGTGGCCAGGTAAATTGCACCGTAAATCCACGACTCCCGGCCATCTGCTCGCTAGAACAACTCCGCTTGGCCTGGCACTTTTGATGTTGATGGTAACAAATGGGTCGATTTTTTGCGTTGATGCGGCCTATCAAATATTAAATCATTCTATTTAGCGACCCGAGCCGCGGCAGGATGCCCGCCATCGCTGTTCGGTTCTGTGCGCTTGCCGGCTTGTCGGTTTCCCGCGCTAATTTATTTACGCATGTTATCTTCCCATCACTGCCGATCCGCGTCCCGCCCACACCGCTTGTCGTCCGGCTACCTGTGCCCAGCTCCCGCCCTCCTGCTGCTTCTGCGGCACCAGCCTAACAGTACACACCGGGTACACACCGCGTCCCGAGCCACCCACGCCGTGCTACCCCCCTTTTCAGTTGCTTCAAGCATGTAACGCCCCTTCGCCTCCCCGACTCTGACACTCACGTGCTCTTTTGCCAGCATGTGTTTGTGCGACGCATCTGTCAGAGTCGGTGTGGGAAGGTGTTTTGAGACATATTATGGCTGGGGGGGGGACAGTGTTCCCCCCAGACCCCCTCCTTTTGCCTGACTGCGTATCCAAGTGAAGGAATAATTTAATTTTCCTAATTTTGTGTGTTTTTGAGCTTGTTCTCCGTATATTTTGGAATCTGGCACAGGGGAGACACCCTTGGACCTCCCTGGTGCTTACCGCATGATGCAACCACTCGCTGCAGGGCCCACTGTGTGGAGCTTTGAAACATTTTTTTCGTATGTATTTTAATTTGATACTCATCTGGAGTGAAGATTATCTAGCAGGGGGGAGACCCCCGCAGACCCCGCGAGTGCTCGCTGCTGTGCCTGCCGT